TTTTTTTTTTTTTTTTTTTTTTTTTAATTGACAGGTTTTTGTTCAATGAGGTATTAATAATTTATTTTCTCGGTTCATTTATGATAAAATAAAATTTAGAAAAAAATAAAATAAAATAACAAGCCGAATAGAAAGGGGAAGCCCCCCCACCATCGTTTAAAAAGAAAAACTTTTCTTGACTAAGAAAAATATACCGAAAAAAAAAAAACATCAATTCGTTTTTAAAAAAAAAAAAAAAATATTCTTGACTAAGAAAAATATACCGAAAAAAAAAAAACTTATCAATTCGTTTTTAAAAAAAAAAAAAAAAAAAACCCCTTTTCCGGTTTTTAAACGTCCCTCTTTTCCGTCCAAAAAAAAAAAAAAAAAAAATATCGGGCCAAAAAAAAAATTTTTTTTTTTTTCTTTATTTCCGGTGAGAAAAAAAAAAAAAAATTTTACTCGCAATTGAATTCACGATTTCTTTTACATAAATCTTCTCACAACGAGACATGAGATGAAAGAAATAATTTTAAAAAGTGTCCAAAAATTTTTTGACAAGAATATTTTTTAAAAGGTATTATAACTGGAGAGAAGGAAATGAAATCAATGGCGGTAGCGATGGCGGTGGTGGTAGTGGTGGCGGTGATGGTGTTGGGTGGTCATAATGTTCGCACGATTGTTAAAAATGATTAATAATAAATTTTGAAATATCTAACGGAAATTTAATTTGATGAATATGTATTGGTAACGGTTAATTTGAACGAATTATTTTATTATACGTGTGGGCAATTTCAGGTTTGGTGCTCCCGGCCAGGTAGCAGTAATTGTTATCATGAAAAACTTTTTTTTTTTTTTCACGGAATGTTTAACGTGAGCGGGTTTAACGAGTACCGCGACGATAATGACGCGACGACCTTTTCGCGTGACACGTTTATGGAATCGATAAAAAAAAAAGCAACGGATTTAAAAAAAATTTATGCGTGTGAAAAAAAACTAAAAGTTTGACTCGTAGCGGAAATAAAATTTAAAAAAAGGAAAAACTTACCGGAATATTTTCCTGATTATCTTTGGTGTTGACGTCGGCAAGGCCGCGTACTTGAAGGGTTTGTGCAGTCTTGAGGAAATCGGTAAGTTGCTCTTGACCGACGTGCACTTCTCCGTGATACATAAAACGTAAAAGAGCTTCCATGTCTTTCTGTGCGACATCACGTAGTATGACTATGGGATGCTGGCACGGATTGGCTTTGAGCAGTCGTCGGAAGTAAGGGCTACAAGCGGATAAAACGACTTTGTGAGCCGTGAACGATCTTCCGTCGCACGCGAGCGTCACGTCGACGAAATCTTCCTCTTCCCGCAGGTGACGGAACGATGATAATATGCTCGTGTGAAAATCGTTCCATCTGAGACTGTATTGCTGTTCGCTGGGGGCATCGCCATTGCTGGCTGCCTGGGGGCCGTCGGACCCTTTGCTGTCGGGCCCGGGCCCCTCTTCTCCACCTCGCCCTCTGAGATCCACAATCTTGCCGTCACCAAATCCTGGGCTCGCTCCGCCCTCGCTCACTTCCGTACCCAGAGGAGCCGTCCTGGATAAGCACTCGGCACTCGTGGCCAAGCAGATATTCAGGCACGTGAAATATATATATTCCACTCGATTAAAAAAACTTTTAACACATGCCACGAGGCCCCGACTGTTTTACGCGCGACAGTTTTTCTTTCCTCTTTTCTTTTTTATATTTAAAAAAAAAAAATTAAACAAAAAAAACTTTTTCGAAAACGAATCAAATTAATTATTTTAAAAAAAAAAAAAAAAGTTTTTTTCTTCACTCGCGGTTAAATTTAACGTAAACTGTAATAATAATAAAGCATGAAGGCATTAAAGTTGCATAATCACTTTTTTGCAGGCGGTTTCAATTGTATCCAATTTCGAATGTTTTTAAAACAAAAACTTGAGTTTTTACTGTTCTCACTAAAAAAAAAAACAAAAAATTTTCCTTTTTAAATATTACTTAATAATTTCTTATTTTCTTTTTCACATCAAACAAACAAAAAAAAAAAACGCACGACAGTCCCTTGTCACAATAATACGTAACTTTAAAAAAAAAACAAATTATTCACTTTTCCTGAAAAGTTACAAAAAAAAAAGAAAAATATTACGCCAAACGTTCGTTTAAACAAAACAAAAAAAGGGAAAGGAAAAGGAAAATTCCAAAAAGTTAATAAGCTAAGGGAAGCAAAAAAAAAAAAAAAAGAAAAGAAAAAAAAAAATAAAAATCGACGCGATTGGGCAGACATAAATATAGAATAAAAAAAATTTTTTTTTTGAAAAGTAGTAGAGAGAGAGAGAGAGAGAAAGAGGAAGAAATGACACGGATCGATAAAAGGAAAGAAGAGAGAATGGATGGAATGGATAATGGAGTGACCATTTCAACCTTTTCCTTTCCTCTTCTCCTTTCTCTCTCTCTCTCTCTCTCTCACCCACAAACCTTTCTCGTCATCATCACAACCCATTGCTCACTATATATATATTCACTTGAAAATCTTTTTTTCTTTTTTTTTTTTTTTTTCGGAAAACACTAAAACGGTGGAATATGAGAAAGAGAGGGTAAAAGAAAAAAAGTAAAAAGTTCGAGAGTGAAAATTGGGGGGAAGAAAAGTTATTAAATATGAAAACGCCCAGCAAAAAAAAAAAAAACGTTTTCTCTATTTTATTTTGTTAATCATTCGCGCCTAAAAATTTTTTTGAAAAAAAAAAAAAATTAAAAAACGACCTACGTAACGTACATAGATAAATAAATAAATTAATAAATAATTTTTTTTTTTACCATAAAAACGAAATTAATAAATTTAAATAAAAATTTTTTTTTTCACTTAAAAATTAAAAAATTTCGGAAAATATTAAAAACATACACACGTACTTGCACACACACACACACACACACACATTCGCACACATTTACACACACGAAGATGATAAACACACACGCACAATACACCAGAAAAAAAAAAAAAAAAAGTTTCACGCGTTCGCAAACAAACACGTTCGAAAATAAATAATAATCCCAATATGAAAATCAATAAAAAAAAAAAATTTTTTTTTTTTTTTTAAATCAAAAAAAACTTTTAAACGTAGTAATAGTATTATTATTATTAACAACAACAACAACAACCGTCACGATGATGATAACTTAACAAAACGCGAAAAAAAAATTAAAAAAAAAAAAAAAAAAAATTTTCGTGGGCACAAAACAAAAAAATAACATACACAGAAAAACAAAAAAAAAAAAAAATCACAAACGTAACATTATCGAAAAAAAAAATGAGAGAGAGAGAGAGAGAGAAAAAAAAATTGAAATTAAAATTAAAATTAAAATTGAATTGAAATCACACCTTATTAGTTTGTTGTGGAAATTTATTAAACAAAAAAAAAAAAAAAAAAAAGCGTGTATCCCTCGTTACTTGCGCAGCGCGTACTGAACGGCCTCGAGTCGTCGTCGTCGTCGTCGTCGTTTTTGTTGTTGTTGTTGTTGTTGTTGTCGAATTCGTCGTCGTAGATTGAGAGTGCGAGAGTGGTGAGGAGAGAGAGAGAGAGAGAGAATTCTCTTATTCTCATTGCAATGCGATATATTGCAACTTGACTAATGGTGGCACACTCGCACGTTTTTTTTTCTTCGTATGTGCCCGTGTGCACTCACTCGCTCTCTCCCAATTCTACTTCTCATATATAACGCTTCACAAACATAATAAAGGACGACTTGTGTTATTTATTTACTGTTTTTTTAATTTTTTTTCTTTTTTTTTTTCGTTCGTTTCGTTTCGTTTTTGCGATCGGTTATTTTTTTTTTTTTTTTTTTTTTTTCTATTGGTTTTCAGACATTTAAATGCTTCTAAAAATTTTCCGGTGAGTCACAACAAACAACAAATATATAAACACACATGTAAATTTTTTTTTCTTAATAATTTTATATGATTCGTTTATCCGAAAATTTTTTTTTTTTTAAATTATTATTATTATTGTTGTTATTATTATTATCGATTTTTTTTTTTCGGGGGGTGATTAACGTCGTGATACTCACTACTCATCGTATTTTACCTAAGAATTTGTTTTTTAATTTTCGGTTGTTGTTGTTGTTGAAAAAGCAACGCCGCGTTAAATTTGTTTTGCGGTTTTTTTAAAAACGAAGGGAATCTTTTGTCCTCCCCCCTCGTCGCCCTTCGCCGCCCTTTTATTGTCCTTACCCCTATCGTGTTTTTTAGAAAAGACATGATTTTTGTATTATCTATTATTTACCTTCAAGGAGAGTTTGTCATATATAATTTTTTACGTGGGTAGATTGTTGGTTAAAAATTCACATATACTAGTTTCAAAAGAAAAATGAATTTTTATTTTGTCCCCTCTTGTCTCTCTCTCACTCTCTCGCTCTTTCTCACTTTGCTAAGCTTTTCTTTTGCCCCCATTTTTTCTTTTTTAATTAATAGAATTTCAACAAAAAAAAAAAAAAGAAAAAAGTTCATTAAAAAAAAAAAAAAAAAAAAAAGTTGTAAAAGAAAGAAAAAAGAAAATTTTTTTTTTTTTTTTTTTTTTTTTTTGTTTTAGTTACGTTTTGATCGATTTAATAATAAAAATAAACTTTAACCGTGTCCGACCTGATTAACACGGCGGGTTCCCCCTCTCTCTTCTCCCCTCTTTCCCCCCTCCCCGAATAAAATAAAAAAAACAATTCAGATTGTAATGAAATATTTTTTTTTTTTTAAAAAAACATGGAGTTTAAAAAAAATTATGATTCTCGTGCAAAAAAGCAAAAAAAAAAAAAAAAATTTGATTCCTTTATTTTATTTTTTTATTCCCACGAAAGAAAATGAAGAGAAAAAAACAAAAACAAAACAAAACAAACAACAGAACGACCGACAATCTGCGTAACAATTAGTAACACTTTAGTCTTAACGATATCAAAAACAAAACTTTAAAAAAATTAAAAAGTTTTAAAAAAGTTTTAAAAAAAAAAGAAAAAAAAAATTTCGTAGAAAGAAAACGGGGGGAGGGGTGATAAAAAGGAGGGAGTAAGTTTAAAAAAAAAAATTATAAAAGAAGAAGAAGTAGAAGGTAGGAAAAAAAAAGGAAATTTTTCATTAACAAGAAATTTTATTATTTTTTTTTTTTTGGTGAAAAACAAAATTGAACCGATCCAGGAAAATTTAATCTCTTCATTAATAATTTGTTAAAAGTTTTGAAGCTTTCCAAAATGGCTAAGTTAGTTTAGGTGTCCGATCCTGCGCCGTCGGAAATTTTCCCCCATTCCAAACCCCCCCAAAAATCTAAAGGCCTTCCTTCCTTCCTTCGTTGCTTGCATCATCATCATCATCATCATCCCATTTTATTTTAGCATTTATTAGTTGACGTAAAGGTAAAGGAGAGAGGTTGCCGAAGATTCGGGAGAATGAAAAATGGTTTGAGATGAGGTTTGGCAAAACGTGCGCGGTGGTGGTGGTGGTGCTGACGGTGATGGCGATGGCGATGGTGGGATCGGTGGTAGTGGTGGTGGTAGAGGAGGAGAAGGAAAACGGGAACGATGGAAGGAAGAGAAAAGGAGAAAAAAGGGGAAGGCGAATAAAATAAAATAGGCGGGTTAGAGCGAGATGAGTTTTCGAGAGGAAGAGAAAAAGTGGCGGGGGTGGAAGCGGCGGGCGGTTACGGTGGTGGTAGTGGCGGTTGGGGGGAGAAGGAGTAGGGAAAATTTAAATTAAAATTAGACGCTCTTGCGTAATAAATTTCTGGAATCTTCGAAAATAATAATAAAGGCAGTGTTTGAAATCAAAGCGAGGATTTAAATTAACAGTAGAGTTATTTTTAAAAAGGTAAAGGGATTGCGCACCCAATTTTAAATTAATTTTTAATTAGAGAAGTATTTGCTTTTTTAAAACTTTTTAAAAGCCAAAAATACCTCTCTCTCTCTCTCTCCCTTTCTCTCTTTCTCTTTCCCTCCCATCTTTTCTTCTTTTTTTTTTTTTATCTCCCCAATGTATTTTTTTCTCTCTCACTCTCTCTCTCTCTTTTTCCTTTCACTTTTTATATTTTTCCTTTTTTTTTTTTTTTTTTTTTTTTTGACTCTCCGTTAATTATCCGTCAAATTTTTTTCTTTTTTTTTTTTTGTTTAATGCGAAAAAATAACAAAAACAAATATAAAAAAAAAAAATTCAATAATAATAATAATAATAATAATAATGATGATGATGATGATGATGATGGAAAGAAATCATCCGGATCAAACGGTAGTAGAAAATATTATATTATTTATTTTCATCTCATCTCAACTCCTACTACGCCTACTACTACTACTCCCTCAAGAAAAAATCCTTTTCCTCAACTTTCCTTTTCTTTCCTTTCTTTTCTTTTCTTTATGGATTAATAAAGGAGCGTATAAAAAAAAAATTAAATATGGCGGATCATCGTTCGTTACGTTACGTTACGTTTTTTTTTTTTACCGATTAACGATTTAAAAAAAAAAAAAAAGAAAAAAGGAAGAAAATTTAGATTTTGATTTTTTCCTTTTGTTTATAATTTTGTTTTTTTGTTTTTTTTTTTTTCGTCACTTGATAAATTTATTTACGTGTTAAGTAATAGAGAAAGTTCTAGAAAAAATGCGAAAAGAGTTTTTCAAAAAAATTGTTTTGAGCGTAAAGAAAAAATGAAATTTTTAAAAAACGTGTCGATTTTACGTTTTTTCGATCTTTCTCTCTCTCTCTCTCAGTCTGTCTTAATATTGTATTGCGTAGTTACGCATAAAAATAAAAAGAAAAATTTTTTTTCAACGGTCATTTAATCACTTATTTCATAGATTTGTTGATAATAATAATAATAATAAAGAAAAAAAGGTTTCGCAATTTAAAAAAAAAGGCGTTAAAAACAAAGTGACGAGAGAGGCGGGAGAAACGTATGTGAAAAAGTTTCAAAAACATAAAAATTAATTAATTTACTCAAACCCCGTGTTATTATTATTATTATTATTAAACTCTTCGTCACCTATTCCCTTGAGAAGTTTCTTTCTCGGGAGGGGATGGAGTGGAGTGGGATGGGGGGTCACACAAACGTATCGTCATTACTTTTTTTTTGCTTTGCACGAGCCTAAAATTTAAAAAAAAAAAAAAAAAATTGGGTTCAATGTAAATTTAAATCGCGTCCTAATATTGTTACCATAATCGAATCGTATATTAAACAATTCTTTGATATGATATTGAAGGAATAGAGGAGTAAACAGGAGGAACAGGATCAGGAGCAGGAGGAATATAAACAACAGCAAAGAAAATACGATAACGTTTTTTCCCCATTCCAACGATTGTAAAAGTTTCGGTTTAAGGCAGACAGCGATGAGGTGTAACCAAACTATTTAGTCTCTAACTTACTAAAAACTTTATCTCAAATGTAAATTACACGTAATAATAATAATAATAATAATAATAATAATAATAATAATAAGATAAGAATAATAATGCATTACAATCTCTACAATATTTAAATCCCGTATATCGAACGTTTATCGTTTAACGTCGAAATCGATATTTATTATTATTATTATTAATAATTTAAACCTTTTGATGTTATTGCTGAATTTTTTTTTTTTTTTGCGTATATCAAGGGACTTAATTATATATAAAAAAAAAGAAAATGCAAAATTTTTTTTGCTTGCTGTTTGTTACGTACGTACGTTGTTATGTTTTTTAATTTAAAAATCGATTTTATTACTCTATGGTTTAAAATTAAAAAAAAAAAAAAAAAAAAAAAATAGATTGATATCAGAAAAATTTTCAATTAAAAAAAAAAAAAAAATTTAATCTATGAAGTTAAGAAACTAAATTAAAAAACGATTTCGAAACTAAAAAAAGAAAAAAAATGGTCGTAAACGGTGGTCGCTAAAAAAATTAAAAATTAAAAATCGAATTTTTACTCATTTTCCACCTTCACTCCACCCCCCCACTCTCTCCCCGTTCACGCTCTCCCCTTTCTTTACTCTATCTCTTTCTTTCTCTCTCTGTCTCTCTCTCTTTCTATAAACTTTTCACCCGTTTTTTTCTTTTTCTTTTTTTTTCTCCAGGTGAATTAAATAAAAAACGTACTAATTAATCAAATATACGTATAATATAAAAATAACAAAATAAGACGTGTCTGGAAAAAAAAGAAAAATCTCACTGACTGACTGACTGAATGAATGACTGAACGCTTGAAAAAAATTTCGTGGTAAAAAACCAAAAAAAAAAAAAAAAAAAATCATTTTTTATTTACACGTGAGCCTTTTTTAAAACCTTTTCGGTGTTTTTTTTTATTTTATTTCCTTCCTCTTTTCGCATCCTTTTCAAAAGGTGTTTAATTAGTTTTGTAAAAATAAGAGGAGGAAGAAAAAGAAGAAGATAAAGAAGAAAGTGAAAAAAAAAAAAAACAAAAAATTTTTTTTTCATTTTCATTGAATTTTCTTTTTGAATAATTTTTAATTCATTTAATTTAACAAACGTAACAAACGTGGCGGCGGCAGCAGCAGCAACAGCAGCAGCACTATCGTCAGCAACATAAGGGGAATGAAGAAGCAGAAGCATAATAATTTTTTATTTTATTATTATTATTATTTTTTTTTGTACGTTACGTAATAATGCTTTTTCTCTCTCATCATAGATAAATTTAAATATTGAACAAAATTTAATAAAATATTAAATATTAAAAACGTAAAGGATAGAGAGAGAGAGAGAGAGAGAGAGAGAGGGAAAACAAAAAAAAGAGTGAGAGAGAGAAAGAAAAGAATAGAGAGAAAGAGATAGAGAGCTAAGAAAATTTTGATAATTAGTATTTCTCGCTCTCCCGGATTTTATAAACTTATATTTAACATTTCGTAGAATCTAAAATTCAGTTAGGGCGTGTACTCCTTTTTGTCTTTTCTACTGACGTTTTTCTTTTCCTTCTCTATTTTTCTATCTATTTTCCATCTCTCTTTCTCTTTATTTCACTTCTTCTCCTTTTATTATTTTTATTATTATTATTATTATTATTATTATTATTAGTATTTCGTTCTCCATTTTTCATTTCATCTTTTTCTATTTCTTTCACCTTTCTCTTTCTCTCCCCCCCTCTCTCTCTCTTTTCCTTTTTTTTTTTTATCATTACGTTTTCCTTTCTCTCTCTCTCTCACACACACACTATCACACGCATTTTCTATCTTTTCTATACGTCTATTTTCTTTTTTTTTTTCTACGTCATCGTTTTTGTCGTCGTCGTTGTTGTCGCTTTCGTCGATGTTGTTGTTGTTGTTATATTGTCATCTGTAAACTGGACACATTTATTCAAATCATCCAATCGATTTCCAACAACAAAAACTAATTCTGTTTTGTTTTTTTTTTTCTTCTGCTCCTTTTTAAAGACTTTAATTTTTTTTTTTTTCCCTAAAATTTCTTTTGGATTTCGTTTTCGATTTGAC